CTAGATCTGGATTAGTATAGGGATCAATCTTTGTTGTCGCACTGCTTCTATCTTTTTCAAGGCAATAATGTCTAGTTATAGTAGCATAGTTGTGTGTGGGTAGTGTGATAGTCAGGGAGTTCAGGGTAAGCTCATCCTCGAAAAGCGGTGTGTGAGACATATACGGTCTTTTGCTTCTATAATAGATGCATTTACGCTTCTTTTATTTTCCCTGCCTTTGGCTTGACAGTGCGCTATGTTAGTCTTTGGTCAATACAGTAAGCCAGGAAGGCGAGTAATTGTAGTTATGCTTGAGTGAGTGTGCCTGGTAGGAAGAGAAGGTCTGCTAGCGGTTTTGGTGGTGAGGGAGTAGGTTTGGGTTCCCTTTTGTCATTATAGTAGTTAAGAGTCAAATTTTTGACACAGATAGTTAGCCAAAGGCTAATATTTGAGTGTAAGCCTTTAATGCGTAGGTGCAGAAGTGCGCCAGTGCACAAAGCTGTAGTCCTGCTTGTTCTTGGTGATGGCTTGTTGGGTGCGGTGCCTTAGCTATGGTTCTCTTTTGGGGAAAGGATGGTATTAGCATCTCGATGTTCCTATTGATCAAATAACTTGCTTGTTCTTGGTTGGTTCATTGCTTTGCATTTTAATTTATCCTATCTTCCTGCATGTGAAGAATTGTCATTTCTATTGTTGTATTTGTACGTTGGTTTAGAGTTAGATCCCTTAGCTATGAGTAGTATTCTTTCAAGGAGTAACTGACAGACTATATCTAAGCTTTAGCTATGAAGGGCTAGTCTCTTAATGTGAATTTCTTAGTTTTTATGAAACTAGGTTCGCACATGAATGCTTAGCGAATTTTCTTTTTCTTTTGCATCTCAAATCAGGAATAGGGACATCCAATCTTTGGTCTGCACGTACCTTTTCTCTTCTTATATCCATTCTTGACATTAGTCTGAGGTCAAATTGGTCAGATGTAAGGAGATTGGCTGATTAAATAAGTAGGGTTTTTTCGTCTTCAATCCATTGCTTGTTTTGCTTGTTNTAGTTATAGGAGTTACTTCTCCGATAAGCTCTGCCACTAGATCTGGATTAGTATAGGGATCAATCTTTGTTGTCGCACTGCTTCTATCTTTTTCAAGGCAATAATGTCTAGTTATAGTAGCATAGTTGTGTGTGGGTAGTGTGATAGTCAGGGAGTTCAGGGTAAGCTCATCCTCGAAAAGCGGTGTGTGAGACATATACGGTCTTTTGCTTCTATAATAGATGCATTTACGCTTCTTTTATTTTCCCTGCCTTTGGCTTGACAGTGCGCTATGTTAGTCTTTGGTCAATACAGTAAGCCAGGAAGGCGAGTAATTGTAGTTATGCTTGAGTGAGTGTGCCTGGTAGGAAGAGAAGGTCTGCTAGCGGTTTTGGTGGTGAGGGAGTAGGTTTGGGTTCCCTTTTGTCATTATAGTAGTTAAGAGTCAAATTTTTGACACAGATAGTTAGCCAAAGGCTAATATTTGAGTGTAAGCCTTTAATGCGTAGGTGCAGAAGTGCGCCAGTGCACAAAGCTGTAGTCCTGCTTGTTCTTGGTGATGGCTTGTTGGGTGCGGTGCCTTAGCTATGGTTCTCTTTTGGGGAAAGGATGGTATTAGCATCTCGATGTTCCTATTGATCAAATAACTTGCTTGTTCTTGGTTGGTTCATTGCTTTGCATTTTAATTTATCCTATCTTCCTGCATGTGAAGAATTGTCATTTCTATTGTTGTATTTGTAAGTTGGTTTAGAGTTAGATCCCTTAGCTATGAGTAGTATTCTTTCAAGGAGTAACTGACAGACTATATCTAAGCTTTAGCTATGAAGGGCTAGTCTCTTAATGTGAATTTCTTAGTTTTTATGAAACTAGGTTCGCACATGAATGCTTAGCGAATTTTCTTTTTCTTTTGCATCTCAAATCAGGAATAGGGACATCCAATCTTTGGTCTGCACGTACCTTTTCTCTTCTTATATCCATTCTTGACATTAGTCTGAGGTCAAATTGGTCAGATGTAAGGAGATTGGCTGATTAAATAAGTAGGGTTTTTTCGTCTTCAATCCATTGCTTGTTTTGCTTGTTGGCTTCATCATTGGTATGCCTAGGCTTATTGGGTCAGATCTTTAGTTTCATTTTTTTTTTTTGCTTTTTTTGTTATCTTATACGCTCGAACTCTTACTCTTTTTGGAGTCCTTGCTAAGCATAGGCTTACTAGAATAATCATTCTAAATGAAACTCTTATTCATTTCATTTTATGGAATAACCCTCTATAAGCAACCTATAATCAAAGACCAATTCAAACTAATAGATTCAATTTGCAGTGATTCCTAGATAAGAGAAATTACCAGAATATCTCTAGAAGCCACTTCTTTTTGTAGTAGTGCTTCGTTCAATCTCTGGCAGTTGGGCAAGGAAAGGCAAGAATGAGTAGCCACACATGAATTGCACACAATAAACGATGTCTTGACATGCTTTCCATAAGCAACTTTTTGTAAAAAAATCCTTCTTTCAGTCTCGTGGGCAAGCACTCGATCAAGTACGAATGCCACACCATTGACACTTGATTATAGCGAAACCTTGTGAATGGTTTTTCATGCTATATACCACTTTGAGAAATACAACCTCCTATGTATCATATCCCTTGCGTACCTCAAAAAGGGGAGATCCTAAATGATCTCGATATGTATAGAAGATTCGTGGGTAGACTTATCTACTTGACTATCACCAGATTAGGCATACGCAGTTGGTGTGCTTAGTCAATTTATACATTCTTCTTGTTTTTGCCTATGAAGATGCGGATTAGGCCGGCTCACTGATAAAACGTATATGAGGTCCTCGACGGGGGCACATTTTGATTTTCATTTTAGGTGAAAATCTTGTAACGTGGAAGAGTAAGAAGCAAAGAGTTGTCGCACGGTCGAATGCAGAAATAGAGTATAGAGCATTGGCTTGTAAGCTTATTTGGTTGAAAACCTTACTAAGTGAGCTTGGAGTTGAGTTGTCCATCCTATGAGAATATTCTTTGATAATCAAGTAGCAACTCACATTGCCTCTAATCTGGTTTTTCATGAGCGAATCTTTGAAGTCACCTTAGAGCATTTTTCCTTCTCCTGACAAGTGGAAGTGAAACTCATATTACTCAAAATTTCATATATTAGATCAAGACTTACCTTCCTCTCAATTCGAATTGAGCACCCCAAAACTATAAGGAACGACAAACACCTAAGCATGAAAATGAACCAATTTACCTTTGTATCTTTATATTCGCTGCACAAACAAAAAAGCAAGGAAAATGAAATGATGTATGTGACAGTGCTGCCTACACACCTATTCCTGGTCTAGTCTTGACTTGGGCTTTTGAGGGATTTCCTGGAACCAGAGGAAGAACTGCTTTTTATTTGGATTCTTATTATAGCTCCTCAGCTTTCAGTTGAAGCTTTTGGCCTATTGGTTGATGGTAGGGTTCCTATTGGTGGAGTTCCTGCCCCTGGCCTTTGTTCTAGCCTCATCTTGCATGCTTGCAAGTATTCTAGAAGGAATGACTTGGTTTCATGTAGCTACTATGGCCCTTCTCGCCTTTCTAGCCTACCTTGTATTGCTAGGAAATGGCTAAGTCTTTTTTGAGGCTTTCACCCGCACTAGCACTAGTATATGGTGTTGAAAGCCCGAACACAAACAAGCTTACCTTATTATTAAGGGAAAAGAGGCTAAAACCAAATTCAAGGAGTTGACAACTCTGAGACTAGGAGAATAGGAAAGACTTGGTATATAATCCATGCCTTCATTCTGGATATAGTCCATTAGCAAGCGAGTAGGGGAACCATTCCTTCCATTTAGTAAGGGAATACAAGCATTACGGGGAGGAATATGAATGTGACTCTTCCCAACTCAAGTCAAGTGAAGCGTAGTGAGGAAGAAGGAGAAGAACCACTTGAGAAAGGCTAAGTAAGTACTTCTTAGGACTTCTCTTCTCTTCTTGTTTCTCACCAACTTCCCGAGCATAGTCTGTAGTAGGGAGGGCCATTCTCACAGAAGTTGGAGTAGGAACATGAAAAACCATTAGAATGCATTCTCACAAGAAATAGCATATTCATGTTGCCTTCTTTCATTCCTATCATTTCAAAGGCTAGTTCAGTAATAGTTGAAATCCTTCTAATTGGCTAGTGCATTAAGGTGGCATGTCTTACTCCGGGTTAGTAGTGAATAAAGTGTTAAAGTAGAGAGAGCTAGCATTCTGTACTCAGCCAGCGAAGCAAAAAAAAAAAGAATGAATGAATAAGAAAGAGAAAGAGAAAGAGAAAGAAAGGACTTGGACACACCTATCTCCAATTAGTGAGGATGCCGGTGGTTATGGGTGTGGATCCGCGCGAGATGATAGCTTTCTCTAGTTTTTGAACAGTTGCTGGCTTGTTGATTTGCCTCTTGGTAATGGAAAACTAGCGAAGGTGTTATTTTATTTTCTTCCATACACCTTTGCCAGAACTACTACCTCCTACCATTGGCACTCTAGAGAAATGGGAGGGAATTTTGATATACCATACACTGATGCCAAACACCGATGTTTTGGTTCCCCCTCCCTTTTCCTTGCTTAAGGAGTTCTACCTTACGCCTTGATAACTATCGTATTGTATGTATAGTGCGTCACAAAGGCGTTAGCCAAATTTGACCATATACAAATGGTATTTGGGTTAGTGTTCATCAACCAAGTCAGCGCGTGTCCGGTAAAACTGCACCGAAATAGTTTGACAAGTAGCTCATTTTCGATTCCCATTGGTTGTAGAGTTCTGACATGCATCCTGCCTTTATTAAGTAATGAGGTAAGCCCCTTTTATCCTATTTTGCTATGTATAGGGTCAAGATCTTTAACATCATACTTGTCCCCACTCAACTTATTAATTGCCCATTCAAGGCAACTTATCTTCTTCATCAGAGGATCGGACAACTGTGGTGGGATGGATGACACTATCTAATTCATGGGAATGGGAGCCAAGGACACGACCGGTATTGTAAGAGGCTTTCTTCGAATCACTTCCTTATAGTGATCTACAGGTTTAGGAACTGCGAGCGGATTTTGAGCTGGAGGAGGTATTGGGTCTACAGGTATAGCATCTACTACTCTTGCTTGACTTTGTGGTTGTGGATCTATGTCCCCTGAGTCGGGGTGGTAGATGGAGGGTTTGTTCCTTGAGCAACAGGTGCAGCAAGGCATTAAAGGGGCTACCTGCGAGGTCAATTGTGCTACCATCTAGGAAATCTCAGCTAGTTGACGGCTAACTGCCTCGTTTGAAAGTAGCTAATTTGTCGGGGCTAAAGGGTTCAATTGGGGGTTAGAACCAGTGGACTCTTCATTGTCCCCATCACTGAGAGGGTTCCTATTGCCTTGGTGACCAACATTGTTGGCCATGATCTCTGGGTCTGATTCACCAAGGCGTTCTAGGTTTTTTATTTTGACTAACCTCCTAGATGGGCCTCTAGTAGTTCGCACCCACCTGCGGTTTGCAAGCTGATGGCGAACTGAGTCGAAGAATGATTCCTCTTGTGCCGAGCCTATGGTTGAACACTCAAGATTAGGGGAGGATGTACCCTAAAGGATGACACTGGCTTAATATAATAAGGTTTAGAAAGACCGCAAAGATAATTGCTTGCTGTTATATACTTCCAAATTAACGTCCGATGTTGCACTGCTGTATGGTGAATCAAGCGGTCCCAGAGATAAGTGCGTAATGAGTGTAGTGCAATTGACTCAGTTCTTTAGCGGGCTATGCCTAGGTTTAGTACATGCTTGATGCTCAACATGGGTAGGCTTAAGGCTTACCTTAGTAGGTTCTCGTCCTATATACCTTGTAGCCCAAAGACTAGTCGCTAGTACTGGCTAAAGGTGTGGGAGTTTGCAGGTATGGTCAATCAATATGTCCGTTTTGACCTTCTTTTTCATCCTAAAGTTCTAGGTTGGACCATATATTTGAAAACCTGGGCTTTAAATGGTAAAAACATTTTCTTTTGATAAACCACGAAAACCTTGACTCTAAAAACCTCAAAAACTCCTTGTAGTGATGCTGCTTAAACTCGCTCTCTAGGATCTATGTTTACCCAATGGAGGAGGAATTTTCTACCAACCTGGGAAAAGAGCAAGGATAGAAGACTAGGCATTGAATCCAACCTCTTGCCTTGATCGACTCCTTCATTCATCGCTTACCACTGGAGATCGAGTACTATGATCAATACCTCGATCAGACTACTTCCTGAGCTAGCCATGGGCAATAACAGATTATCTCCTCGAGCCGAATGTCTACGAAGGAGGAATGGTCCTCGATGGATTGGATGAGAGCAGAGAATATTCTAAGAGTGAAAGGTGCGTATGTTAAGCACCACTTCAACGGCCGAGGGAACATCTCGCATTCGATATGTATTCAAAAGGACCAATTGAAGGCCCCTATTTGAGTAAAGTGGAGCGTAGGGTGTTCAAGCTCTCAAGTGGCAACCAAATCGGCCTTTTCACTTTATTTAATGGACTAAAGGATTGGTCCTTCTATTGCTGCTTCTTTCCGAATGAAAGGATGAAGCTTTTCTTTTCTTTCTAACTATATTTGCCTTTACTAGCCAAGAAGACAGAATAATAAGGGCTATGTTTATTCTACCTTCGAAATCATTCTACTTATAGGTGTGTAAAGGATTTTTTTTGGGAAGCCTAAATAAGGAGAGAAGCTTTTTGGGGGAAATGGGGCCCCATGGACTCTTTCCCGTTCTCTTGTTTTTAGGAGGATGGATACCTCTAAGTCTGCTTCAAGCTTTCTAAAATTTGTTATTGACTAGTATAGTATCCAGCTTCGATCGGTAAACTTTTATTTCACATAGCCACTTGATAGTTTGATAAGCCAAAGAAAGATAGGAATGCTTCCTCCCAGTGTTTTTTCTTTTATTTGAAACATCGAGAAGTTCACACCTTTGTTATTTTAAGGGGGGGGCTCCTTCTCAACTCTGAGTTTTTCAGTTTCTTGGAGGATTTCGAGTATAATATATAAAGAAATGCTGGCTTTTTTTTCCTGCCTTCTTCGAAAAGTGTCTTCTCTCCCATTAGTAAGATACGGCAAGCAAGAGCTAATGTAATGATATATATATATATATGTATGTATGCATGCTAGGCCTTTTTTTTCATGTCGAGAAAGTTATTTCAGAAAAGAAAGTCGAGCTACTACAGACGTCTTTAATTGAATGGAGATAGACATATAGGAAGTGTGTCGTGCTTGATTCATAAGATTCTATAATAGCACCAGTATATTATTTCACTTAGCCTACCTCTCCCATGTCTTTCTTGGTTGGACCAACCCAACCAGTGATTTCCTCCTGAAGTGGGATAGTAAGAACAAGTCTCTCTTTTTTGGGGGGAGAGCAGAGCAATCAAAGAATGAATCTAATCATGAATCTTCTTTGCCCCTTATCTCCTCATCTTGCTATTTATAAGCCACAGTTCACTTCGACGTTTCCAATTTCCCATAGGATCTCAGGAGCTTTACTAGCCACTCTAGTCTCGTTTTTTTTTTTATCTTCTTTATCTGTAAATAGGTTTGATTTGCTTAACCTATGAGAATTTCTACCAATTCTTATTTTATTCATCAAAGCTCATTCTAATCTCCGTCAAGATTACTGCTTTAGGCCTGTCCTATCATCTGTATAATAGAGTTCCTCATTTATTGAGGGATTTTTATTTCTTATCCACTTTTTGATGTGCTAACTGAACTTAATTCGTAGACAAGGTTTGTTCCGTAGCATGCTTCGGGTGAAGCCAGAGCTCGATTCCCTTGACCCCCAAATCAAGTTTTGATTCAAATTCTTCCTCAACCCTTCACCCTACATGCACCACAACCTATCATTATCCCTTACCAACCACCTCCTGTCTACAATCTTGATAGATTCCATTGGAATTAATAAAAAAAAATAAAGAAGAGAGAAAGGGAAGATTATGATGAGATTGGGAACATGACTCGATTTGACAGATTTTTTAAGCTAGACAGCCTGAAAACAAATAGAGATAAAGAAAAGAAAAAAGCTTATGCTTTTCTCAAGCAAATCCAGAGGTAGGAATAGAATGTAGCCGAACAACTTAACATAGGCCCCACCCAAATTTTGATCTTAGATCTTCTTTTAACTTAAGAACACCCCCTTAATGAGATTTTGGAACAAATGATCGAAATATTTCAGAATGCACATGTCACCCTAGAAATTTCACCAGATAGATTGGCTCAGCTTCAGCCTCATAAGAGGTGATTGCACCAGCAACAAAAGAGATCTTAAGATAAAGAGGTACCATATCATATGTGTAACAAGAACGGACATGACACACCAAGTTGCTAGTTTAACTTGCTGACACTGGGGTTTGAAAGCTTTTCAGTCAAGCCTAAACATCCTTTACTAATATAATAGCAGGGCTTTGGAGAGGAAAAATCTTCATCGATCACGATGCGAGCAACAAGGTAACGGTGTCCTTTACCAAGCCAAAAAATAGATCTTATCACAACACTTGCTTTCCCTAAACTATCTATCCTTAGAAGTAGGGTGAGCAAAATTGAAAGAGGGAATTCTCTGATCTGATAGCCTTACAACAAACAAGCTTGCTTAATGCACTAGCTTTGAGTTTTGACTTAAAAGCTCTTAGAAGTTCAAAACCAAAAGACAAAGTGCATCGCTCTCACACTCGTCAGTAAATTAAGTTATTCGCCTTTTATAAACAAGTATTGTGTACTAATAGACTTGCTTACCGTAAACTCAAAGAAACAAAGGTTTTATCTATTTATCCATAAGGGCTGGAGCGCATTTTGAACAATATAAGTTCTGACTTCGCTTCCAAAAAGAGATATTTGACTCTGATCCACTACTGGAAGGAATTGCCTCACTTGCTGCTTGCTCTTATTCCCATCGATATGCCCTGAAACAAGAACTTTCTTTCTCTCATGCCCTTTACCTTAAGCCTAACAAAGATAGAATGTTTCACTTGCCCTATCATTTTTATTGCTCGTAAAGACTCTATCTCTATAGCTGCCTTCTCTTTCCTTTTCATTACAAACAAACCACTTTCATAACTAATAAGGCATGGAAGAAAGGAGTCTCGGTATTTGTTCTAACTTCCACTCGCAAAGGAACAAGACCTAGATTTAACTAGGGCGAGCATTGTTTACTATGCGAGTGGAGAGATTTAACGAGCTAATAGCGAGTAGACTTTGCCCTTCCCTTTCTTTCTTTAGACTTGTAGTAAAGCTAAACAAGTTTACACGTCTTGCATTTGAGCTTGAACCCTTTTTTTGAATCCTAAAGTCTCATTAAAAAATCTCCAAAGCTAGAAGAAAGCCAAGACTACAACCGCTACTTGCCTAATAGTATAATGCCTTCCTCCCTGACTTGACTTTCCTAGCTACCAAGCCCCTCTTCAAACCCTTGCCAGAAAGATGAAATGAAAGACTCTATGTGATACTCCTTGAATAATCGGAGTGAAAAGCCTTAAAAAAAAAAGCTTTAGCAACGGTAGGAGTTACTACTTACGCCAGCACCTGACGATCTTATCAGAACATACTCCCTTAACAAGAAGAGTTTGACTTGGAAAAGTTCATGATATGAAGAGCCTTTAGATGAAGAATACCCTACTAAAACAAGTCAAGGAGAGGAAAGGATTCAAGATCCTGAGACAAGAAGGGGTGAAGGTACAACATATAAGCCTTTAATCCCAACATTGGGCTTGATATGCTTTCTTTTCCATTTCTTAAAATATATATATTCCATTTTTTTAGGCCATGAAAAATGAGAGAAGAGGATGGGGGTTCAAAGTAACGAGACACCAGGATCACGTCACCTTACGACACCAATAACAGTCATTTCTGATAAAATGAGGGGAAAGTAAAAAAAAAGGGATGGAAATTGACCAGCCTTAAAGAAGTAGGGGGAAGAAAAAGGTGAAGGAGAGGAAGCTGGAAATGGGGACAAAGAAGAAGACGAATAAAGTTCAAACTCTTTTTTTGAGTTCCAAGGATGAGGAGGATCCAACGAGTTTACCTTATTATTAGAGAAAGGAGGAAGGGGGGATAATCCATAAGATCTCGTTCTCTAATGTTAATTATGAATCTATGTAATTTCTTATCTTGAAATCACATTCTTCTCAAAGAAATCTCCACTGAAAAGGAATTCCATTGAGAGGCAATCATCACTACTTTCTCCTGAGAGCATGGTCCACTGAGAAAGAATGTATTTTTGTCAATTTTGTTGGTTGGGCAGCTTTTTCTTCTATTGTTCCTTTTAACATTGGGAAAAAAAAAAGAAAACAATTAGAAGCCCTTTTAGAGATAGGGGTGAATTCGCATAGTCAGAAGGGAAAGATGGTCTTGGATCGTAGATTCGACTGTAGAAGCAGAAAACAGTACTCACTGCAACTCAAGAGATTTGGGAGTGTATTAAATATCTATTCAAGACTTGCATGTAGGCTTCATAGCAAGCCTTGAATTCAAGATCCAATAGATCCTCCAATTCTTAAAAAATCTTGCTTGTAATTAGAGGATAGATTCTCAATTCTAGAGAAAAGCAAGGTTTGGAACCCAACTTCTAATCTTTATAGATAGGGGGTTAAATCTCTTCCTTTCCTCCTTTATTTAGCTCTTGCTAAGTTCATTATATTTTCCCAAAGGGCAAATAGTCTTCATTTGATCTCTTCCTTCTTGTAGAGTCCCTATAGACGTAAAGGTTCCAAAGACTCCACTTGACAGGCTATAAGTCAGTGAATATCTACTTCCCGCCCACCTTCAAGTTCAAGAGTCTGAAGCAAAGAGATCTTTCCTAAAGGTAAGCAAAGGATTCCTTCTGGCCTTTTGCTCTGGTACCTAAGTCACTCTTCTCTTTCCTTTAGTAGAAATAGAAAAGTCTCACTCTTGCCCTTAATAGGAATCCAAATGCGAAGGTCAGCTTGTTTTAGGTCATAAAGGGAATAGGTTTCTATCTTACTTGAAGACAGAGAATTGATATCTCACTTAATGTCCCTACTAATAATCGAAAGGGCTTACTAAAAAAGCTAATAGGGCTCCAAAAGAATGGATGTCTTCCGTGTATGAGGGACCAAGAAATAGAGAGTCAACATATGAACCCCAAATAACAGAGGCAAGGGTAGTGCCATTATGATTATTAGTTGTCAATTTTTCTAGAGTGGTGTTGGT